AATGGCTCTTCGGAGTTACAGAATCTTTTGCGGCCCCTTAGTACGTCCGTATTCCCAAGCTCCCTGTTACGCGAATTTTCTGGCTCGCTTCTCGTGTGCGGTCTAAGAAAAATATTTGTACACTCTCTCGCTCTCTATAGTGGCAGCGAGCTCTGGCTTCGGCTACTGGGTTACATATAAGGTTATCACAAAGATCGGGTCTAAGTAAGGATGTCCGTCTCCTGGATGAGAGGAAGCTATTCGATCCTCGTCAAGCTGACTCATATATGAGGCTATCACTGAGGGCGCAGATGAAGGTCGTGAACTGGGGAGGGACAGAGTTAACTAGATAACTAGGAGAGCACTGAAGGGACCGGCAAAGCGGCCCTCGTTTAGGCCTTGGAGATAAAAGCTCCTCCTGACAATCCTCAATGCAAGCTTCGCCTTATTTTGAAGAAATCATACCCGGCGGACCGTCCGAGCTACTTCTTTACTTGCAAGCGTGCTCCAAGTGCTGCCACCTCTGCGTCCCTGAACGCATCAAAGCTTATCGGGATTTACATCGTCGTCTACCTGTTCTTTTTTTATTGTTCCCAGCTTTTGACTATGCCACTGTCACGTTCTCGATGTGTGTCACATGATCTCATGATCATTAGGCCATTCAAGGCAAGAAGCGCAGGCTGCTTTGAAGTCATGCTGTGTATTTAATCACAACTAGCCATTCTCTACCGTGTGGTTTCCAATTCACTATAGTGGTCTGTAACAAACTTAATACTATGTATGACTTACTTACTTAAAGCGTTTATAGAGGGATGAGACCATTCAAAGTACATGGTTTAATTACAGAGGAACATCTGTAAGGGAGGGCCTTAATGTCTTCACTTGATTCAAAAAGAAAACAGCGTGGATAAAGAATCATCGCCGCGAGATCCAAAAATAAACTCTCCTCATGTGGGACTCGAACCCACAACCTTCCGATTTCAATGGCCTTGTGCAAGCCGTAAAAGTCGGACGCGCTAAACCGATTGCGCCAATGAGGACGCTGTGTACACGGGATACCCGTTCACCGATGATACTTCGTTGCCAAAAGTTGACTCTTATAGTCCAGACGGTGAAAACAAGTAAGCTTGCACGACTGAGCTAAAGCGACTTTCTGTAGGCGATCCCAGGCTGAGCGATCGACGCATGCGCTGCGACGCATTCATTTGGCGTCGACAAGTTGCTGGTAGAGTTCCCAGGTCTTGAACTTTTTTTTTAGGTAGCTATGGCTTCTGCAACTGGGATACTTCGATGGTGAAGGGGAATGGAACCGCAGCTGCCTCTGTTGGATCCAAACGAACGTCATTCTGCCCCGCACTAGCACCAAATGGAACGCAAGAAGCACTGCCCCTCCATACTGACCAGGATCGCCAGGTTCCAGGTCCAGGTTCCCACATTGTCGACCGCCATTGCGTTGCCTGGGGAAGGTGACACTTGACCCATTTCACCTCTCCAAACATTTTGGAATCATTCGTTGTTCTCTCATTGTGTCTTGATCTCAGTAGCAAACTTTCACACAGGCTTTCTGGACACTTGGCTCCATAATGTCTGTCAACATCGAAAAGATCCTAGCTGCCTCGCCCGCCACGCAGCGAGGCCAGCCAACACAGCTTTCGACCGACAAGAAGGGCGAGCGTATCGCGTACGCGGTCAGTTGATTCAGGCTGTCTAGATTCGATGATGATTCGCGACTAACAACAATGCACATACAGGCCGGCAAATCCATCTTCCTCAGATCAATCGACAACCCTTCCGTAAGCAAGCAATACACCGGCCACACGGCCCAAACCAGCGTCGCTCGCTTCTCTCCAAGCGGCTTTTACGTGGCCAGTGGTGACGTGTCGGGTTCTGTACGAGTCTGGGACGCGGTCGAGGCCGAAAATACAAAGGGTACACTATGATCTCCAGCTTGCCCAGCTTAACCCGCTGACACATGGCCAGGCGAGTACCACATCATCTCGGGCCGCATCAACGACATCGGATGGGATGGCGACTCCCAGCGCATCATCGCAGTCGGAGACGGCAAAGAGCGATTCGGACACTGCATTACGGCGGACAGTGGCAACTCGGTGGGCGAAATCAGCGGTCACTCAAAAGTTGTCAACTCCGTCGCCGTAAGGCAACAACGTCCGCTGCGCGCTGCAACCGTCTCGGACGACAGTTCCATCTGCTTCTTGCACGGAGCCCCTTTCAAGTTCAACTCTAAGCACGCCTCTATTCACCGTGGCTTCGTCTTCGGAACCGCCTTCTCTCCTGACGGCAGCCTACTTGTGACGGTCGGCGCAGACAAGCGGATTCAGCTGTATGATGGTAAGACGGGCGAACCAACAAAGCAGATCGGCGAGGGAGAGCACACTGGCAGCATTTTTGCCGTCTCTTGGTCCGAGGACGGCACCAAGTTCGTCACTTCCAGCGCGGATCAGACGGTCAGAGTTTGGGATGTCGAGTCTGGCAAAGCGACGCAGACGTGGAAGTTCGGCGATGGCGTTAGCATTGGTGATCAGCAAGTCGGTGTCGTATGGCCACACGGACGAAGCGATGGCTTGATCATCAGCTTGAACCTCGATGGCGACCTGATTTACCTGAATGAGGGACGCGACAAGCCTAGCAGAATCGTGCAGGGACACAACAAGAACATCACAGCCCTTGGGACTTCATCTGATGGACAGGGCAAGACGCTGTGGACCGGAAGCTTCGACGGCCGTGTCTGCCAATGGGATGTCGAATCCGGTGTTGGAAGTGTTGTTGACGGCCAGGCGCACTCGAACCAGGTCACTCAGTTTAGCGCTGAAGCTGGACAGACCTTCAGTGTTGGCTGGGATGACACTCTCCGGACTGTCGATGAGTCTGCCAACACCTTCGTTGGCGATTCCGTCAAGCTCTCTGCGCAACCTAAGGGTGTTGCAGCTACAAATGGAAAGCTTTACGTGGCGACTACCGAGGGAGTGGACGTCTACGAGAAGAACAAGCTGGTGGCGGAGAACCGTCTCGGATATGCTCCTCTCGCCGTTGGCGCAAATGGCTCAACTGTAGCGGTTGGTTCCGGCAACTCGGTTAAGATTTACACCGCGGACGGCTCTGGGAAGCTCTCCGAGGTCAAGTCGCTCGACAAGTCTACCTCTCAGATCTCCTGTCTTTCCTTCTCCAAGGATGGCCAATATCTTGCTGTCGGAAACCAGATCGGCAAGATTGTGGCGTATAAGTCAGGTGACTGGGAGGTCGCCACTGACAGATGGTCAGCGCATACCGCGAGGGTCACTTGCATCAGCTGGAATGATGCCGCAACCCACGCGGTATCTGGAGCTTTGGACACGAACGTGTACGTGTGGAGCTTGGCGAAGCCTGGTAGCCGTGTTAAGGCTCTTAACGCACACAAAGACGGTGTCAACGGCGTTGCCTGGGTTGGAGATGGTTCTAAAGTGGCAAGTGTGGGAGTTGATGCTGCGATTAAGGTCTGGGCTGTGTCTGGACTTCAGTAGTTTCCTGTTTCTCTGTAGACTATTGTCTTGCAGAGTCATGATGACTGAATGAAAAGCGAAATGACGTTACACCAACCAACGCCTGTTAAAATGGGGTATCTCCGTGTCTAAAAGCCAGTTCCTTTTCCGATCATACCGTCCATGCCAACCATCTTCCCCCCTTTTCTCGGCTCGTGATTCATCAATTCATGCCGAAGTAATATCGGGAAGGTGTCCACTGCATGGGAATCTAGCCCATCGTCATCTGAGCCACCTCCTCACGCTGGACCTCCCCCGAGCCCCCATTGCCCGCACCTGTCTTGTTTGTAGGCCGAGGTGTCTCTACAGCGTAGCGCCCCAGCATAGCACTGGTGACCTGCCACAAGTCGACGTTGAGAGGCTCGGCGTCTTCCTTAACGGAGTGAGGCTTGAACTGCACCTTGGTCTTATCAAGCTGCAGAACAAGCTGTTCCAGTGCATATGAGATGTCGCCGAGATGGCCCCAGATCCCGTAACCCTGGCGCTGGATCTCCTCGGCCAGCTCGACTTGGTGGTTATCCTTGAGGGTCGGGTTCGGGACGACGACGAGGGGCACGTTGACGCGCATGCCGTCGAGGATGGTTCCGGTACCTTCGTTTATCGTCTGTCAACTTGGTATTCCATCATTGGGCCCAACTCAACTCGGCATTCTCATGACATACCTGCATGGCAGATCACAACCCCTCTCTCACGGCCAGCAGCGGCTTGGCACTTTGTCATTTCGACGGTGAGATCATCGACGAAGTCGAAGGCAGTGATCTCGAGCGTTGGCCAGCGAGAAACTAGCGTGGGGAGAATATTTCGAGAGAAATGCTCATAGTCTTTGCCGCATTGGAGGGTCAGGTGGGTGTAGCGGTCGCCAACGAGGAAGTCGAGGAAGGTAGGCGAGACGACTTCAGTGAGCAGTTGGGTAAAGCGGGCGGTTGCGCCGACAGTGACAAGGCAATGCCGCTCAAGCTTAGGGTTCTCAGCAGACATTATGAGGTGCGCTAGAGAGAGAGTCTGTTGGAAGAGGAGGAGGTTTGTGATGTTGAGGCTGCGAGTACGACACGCGATGTTTGATGAATAAGTGCAGCTTGTGAAAGCTTCCCGGTGACGTTGAATTAGGTAGGTCACAGTACTGCACTGTGGCACAGCCGATCAGGGTCCACTAGCGGGGTTGTTTGAGCACGCGGGGCGTTACAGGGCGGTGCCTTGAAGTACGTAGCCCCAACGGCATTATGTTTAGGGTCACCACCAGTGGACGGCTTCTTTTCCACCTCAGTCTTTAGGTTGGCTGCTATTCATTCTCCAGAGACAATGCAGGTGAGCTCATCCAATTAGAAACGTCGCTTCTGACCACTGTGAATGGGCATTCATTATTCCTTAATGCCTACCTCCTTTTAATATCATTTCTTGTCCTTTCAGTGTCTGTCTACTCAGACATATCTTGTTTAGTTGCTACCTGCACATATCGGCTGCCAGTCCGATCTCTCCAAAAAGGCTCTACTCCCATCTCCCGGAACCTCTTTTTCTCATAAACCTTGGTCACTATCCAACTACTCACAAACATAACCACCACGATGGCAACGATGCCGAAGCAAGCAATGAGAGGAGCCAGTATAGAGAAGACGGTGAAGCCATAGCTCACGCTTTGGAACAACTTGTCGCCCACGAGCTGATCAGTGGCCAGCCCAACTTGCATCGCTGTGAGGACAATGACGACATAACCAAGAACCGCAGCCAGCGCCGCAAAGTTGTCCCGGAGCAGGTCCTCATAAACCGCATGAGAAGCAACCTTGGAGTACCCCCGGAGCAAATACCCCAGGCGGAACCGATAGATCTTGTTCAAGCGGCTCAGTCGGAGCTCGCCGTACCAGTAGCGCGGGTTTACGGACGCATAACAGTGGTTCTGCACGATTTGCGCCGATAATGCCCTCCATCGGTCCCAGCTGACTTGCGGCGGCATGAGGCCCTTTTCAACGGCTATGCGGAAGTCGCTCTCGTACGCGACGAGGGCCGTGTAGGAGAACAAGAATCCGAGCGCGCAGGCGACCAGCTCCCTTCGCGGATCGGACTGATGTCTCTTTCCGTCACTACTGCTGGTGCCGTCGTCGGTGGTGGTGGTGGTGACAAGCAGGTGTGCGGCCCAGAAGTCTGGGTCCAGCAGCCACCGGGGTATCGGCTTGACGAAGATGCGGTTCTTGGCCCATACTAGGTGAAGCTCGGGGTTCTCTGTGACATGAATCTCCCGCGAGGTGAGCAACTGATAGTGGAGGGGCCTCGGGGGCATCGGACGCCCGCAAATCCAGAGGAGGTCCTGGACATCGTTCAGACGTCGGACGAAGAGCTCTCGGCCCAGGAACTCTGGGTCGTCGGCTCGCGGCACGATTATGTGGTCGTGTTGTGCTCGGCTGGTTGCCGGGAGGAGGTCGCCAAAGGCTCCGGGCGGCGAGGCCCTTGCGGGAGTGGTTGCATGATTGAAGCCGTCATCGAGGACGCGGACGGTGAAAGGCACAGACGCCGGCCGATCCATGGTGCGACTCGAGAGATGCGGGTTGAGTTTGTAAGCCGGAGTTTTTCAAGCATGAAGTGTGATCCAAGCTGTCGGTCCTGGCACCTGAGTCGGCTGTCTTGTCAAAGGATATCACGGTCCTCGCTGCGCAGGGTTTTGGCCGGACCAGCGATCTTGACAGAAGTTCTTTTCTGGATCACCGAAGGTCTCGTCGAATTGCTTCCGCCCACAAACTCAAGCGAGTTATGTTAGTAAGGCCAAAAGCACCCATTGGACCGCATGGTCTTTGTTGATCTCAGCAGGCTGCAAAGGAGCAATAGGCATCTAAATTTCTTGGGGTCTAAAACGGAGGCTTCCATGTCACTTAAGATGAAGAACCGCAGCATGCAGGCAAGGGGGTTCTCTGCGCAGCCGGACATCGACAGACTCGCCTGGATCCCGAAAAGAGACGAACTCAGCAACGCTAAATTCTGACCAGTGGAACGGCGCTACAAAATTAGAGGCAGCTGCAATCGAGCTGAATAGACTATTGGCGCAGTCGGACAGGCGTTGGCATCGTAGGATGACAATGCATGGGTGGCTGACGCCGCTAAGGTCGTTTCGGGCCGCCTGGCTGCAGGGGGACCCAACTGGTCTACCGGGGGCATCTAGACCCCGGACTGACAGCCTTACAGGCACTGCCTGCCTGCCTCTGCTACGCCGCTGCCTGGGAAATCTCATGATCTCTATTATGATCTTGTCCAAACCTTTCTTTCTCCCGTCTTCGGGAACACTCTCTCTGTTGTTGTTTAGCTAAACTTGTCTCAACAACGGCGGCATCACCATGTCTCTGCGGCGAGCAGGAACGAGAAGGGCACCTCACGGGGGTCCGGGTGGTCCGAAGCCCAGGACGACGTATCAGACGGTTCAGCAGGGCTTCAAGGAGCTGTATAATCCCCAGAAAGAGAATGGTTCTGGATCAGCAATCGACGTTGAGTATGCCACATCCCATCGGCTGAGCGGTTTCGAAGTTCGATTCTAACTGTTAAATAGCATTGTCTTCGTGCCAGGCTTGGGCGCTCATCCGGAGGACAGCTGGAAGTCGGAGACAGGATTCAACTGGGCGACTGGTGTCTACGATGGCACTTCAAAACCGTCTTCGGATTCGAGCAACAAGAAGGATGGTCTCGCCAGGGACTTTCCAAAAGCTCGCATCTTGCTGTATCAGTATGAATCAGCATGGGTTGGGGATCTCAAGGTCAAGTCTTTCATGAGGGACATTGCGAAATCCATGTTGGAAGGCCTTCAAGCCAACCGAGAGGTAAGCTCACTCGGATTATTCGGTGGGAGCTTTGCTCATCAGAAGACAGGGAATCAGAGACCGCCCTATAGTGTTCATTGGACACAGCATGGGAGGTTTGGTCATCGCCAAGGTATGTAAACCGCGTCTAGCACGAGATCCGTAAGTTTGACAGACTACGCAGGCAATTACTCTCGCTGCAGACACATATAGGGACGTGTTTCCCAGGATGTTCGAGTGCATCGCAGGATGTGCTTTCTTCGGAACGCCCTTTGGCGGTGCTCAAGTTGCTGCCGTAGCCGCCTTGCTCGGTGATTTTGGCGAGCACTTGGGATACACCAAGTCTTCGGCTCTAGTCAAGATGATGACGCCTGGAGACGAGGGCTTGAATGAGCTAAAGAATGATTTCCTGCGTTTAGTTCGTAAGATCAGTCCTGAGATTCAGCTTTTCTGCTTTTACGAAAACCATCCGACCGATTTCACCCAGGAGAAGTACGGCGCTGCCATGTCGAAGATTGCCAAAGCGGTCGTACCCAAGAAGGTGCAAGACTTCGTCTCAAGAGAGTCTGCAACACTTCCAGGTATTGAAGACATGGCTTTGGCGGCGAATCACCGAGATCTCGTCAAGTTCAGCGACTTCAAGGACTCTCGATACCAGCTTGTTAGAGAACCCCTCAAACGACTCATCCATGGCGCCAGTCTTGTCGTGAAGAACCGCCTCAACTCGACACGTGGAATTGATCAAGAGACGGTCAATGGTGTCATGGAGCTCCTGAACGGTGGACAGGTTGCGAAGAAGAGGAGGATCCTTGCGCCCCAATTCCCACCATCGACTTGGATCCCAAGAGAGACAGAGTATCTAGACTGGCTTCAAGACTCTGGCGAGGTCAAACTCGCTGCGTCGAGGTCTCGTGGGCAGGCCTTGTTCATCCGAGGACCTGAAGGAAGGGGTAAGACACGAGCGACCATGGCGACACTTCGCGACATCGACAACATGATTCAAGCCGACGAGAAGCAGAGCCATGGACGAGGACCGGTACTCCTTGCATATTTCTTCTGCGATCCTTCGTCGGATTTTTCGACTGCGGAGGACTTGCTGAAGTCGCTGGTTCGCCAACTAATCAATCAACAACCTTCTTTATCCGTGTATGCGAAGCATTTCGTGAAGAAGAAGGGCGAAGACTCCTCAAAGACCCAGGCGAACTTGACGGTCGAAAATCTTTGGCAAACTCTCCAGGACATGCTAATGGACGAGTTCATTGGACGAAGGGTGTACTTTGTCATGAACAACCTGCATGTGCTGCCAGAAGATGCCGAGTCGACCATCAAGCTAATGAGATTTCTACACGCGGAGATGGAAGAGCTCAAGCACGAGGACGAGAAGAGGGTCTCAACCAGATGGCTCCTCACAAGCAGGGAAGTTCAGAATGTCGAGGATGCATTGAAGGTTGAGGGCATCCGGCTCATCGATCTCGAAGAAGACAAATACTCGGACCAGGTACAACTCGAGCTACGCAAAACCGCTCAGGAGAAAGTCCAGGAGCTCGGCAGTGCAAAGAAGTACAATAAGGCACTCACCTACTTTGCCAGCAGTCTCATCGGCAAGCGTGCGTCCAACAGTCAGTGGATCAAGCTTTCCTGCATGCAACTTGCGGAACTGTCCGAGGCTGAGAGCGACCTGAGGATTCGACACATACTAGAGGGAATGCCCCAGGAGCTGAAGGCTTTGCTCGATGCTGCTTGGTTGCAGATTTTCCGTGCGAATGAGAAGGATGCAGACAAGATCAAGGAATTGTTGCGAACACTCGTCCTCACTTTCGAGGAACCGACAGAAGACGAGCTTGCTGTGCTGGCTGGATTTCCTGCGACTGAAGAAGGAAAAGCTGAGTTGCAAAGTTTGGTCAAAAAGTGCAGGCCATTACTGGTAGTGACACGCAGTGGAAGGTCAGAAAACACTATCGGTTTCATGGACACTGTCGTCAGGGAGCATCTCTTAGAAAAGGAGACCTCGAAGAAGACTCTGGGCATGTCTGGAGACGAAAGGAAGTGGCAGCATGGTATCATTGCCCTGCGGTGCTTGGCTCATATCAAGCAAGCCTTCGATTTCCCGCCTGTCGAGAAGCCTGCCGAAGAAACCGATACAGAGGAGGATGAAGGCTCACAAGCGGCAAGCAGCGAAAATGGCGAAGAGTCCGACACTGATGAGGACGACGGTGACGGAAATGAGTCAGAGGAAGAAGAGTCAGACGACGAAAGCGATTGGGATGAGGATTCCATGCACAATTACCACCAAATGGAAGACGATGAGGTCGAGGAGGCGCAAAGTCTTGATGGCAAGTATTTAGCTTACCCCGTCAAGCACTGGCTACACCATGCTAGCAAGTCTACCATCGAGATCGCCGAGGATCTCAGCGAAGACGATTTCTGGGAGAAAGAGTCGCTCATTCGGTACCGTTGGTTGCTCGTGTACATGCACACGACCAAAGCCCTGGTTAGCTTCCAGGCCAAGCATCTCACCGCACTCCACATCGCCGCTGCTGTTGGCTACAGGCAGCTCGTCTCGGCCCTGATCCAGAATGGACATGAAGATGAGATCAACAAGCGGGATGAACTCACAAACACCCCCGTAGGTACTTCCTCGTTGCTCCTAAGCTTGGATTGTGTACTAACGCGTTGGTAGCTTCATTTCGCGGCTTACATTGGACGACCCAACACGGTTGATGAGCTCCTCAAACGTGGCGCCAACATCGATGATGGTATCGAAATTGGGCAGGAGACGCCGTTGCATATGGCTGCCAACGCCGGTCACGTCAAGATCATGAATAAGTTGATCCAAAAAGGAGCCAATGCGAATGCTGTCGCAGAAGACGTCGGTCCGGTGATGAACGCTGCCATCTCCTCAGGAAACCCCGATGCCGTCAGGCTTCTCGTCGAAAAGAACGTCTCCTTGGCCGTCGAGGACGACGACGTCGATTCTCCCCTGGCTTTGGCTGGCCTGCATGCGGATCTGTCCATGTTCGAGTATCTCACTCAAACTTACGCTGATAAGCTACCTCCCAAGGAATTTGACAAGGCGTTTGTCAAGGCTGCCGTTTCAGGCAGAGTCGATGTTTTCAACAAGCTTTTGACATATGATCATTCTCAGGAGTGCTTCCAAGAGGCTTTGGAGGCTGCGGCTGAGGAGGAGAACTGGGAGATTGTCATGATCCTGCTTGAGAAGCGACAGGGTCTGGACTGCAACGAACTCTTCCGACAAGCTGCGACTACAGCTGAGCACCAGGACAAGGTACTGGAGGCTGCGTGGAAGTACACTAACGGAGACATCTCCAAAGAAACCCTCAATGATAGCTTGTACGAGGCCACAGACCTTGAGAAGGAATCGACGGTCAGGCTTCTGTTGGAGGCCTTCAATGTCGACCCGAATGCTACCGGCGATGAGTAAGTAGCCTTCATCAAGGGATATTAGACACTGCTAACATCGACCAGGTATGGTACAGCTCTGACTGCCGCTGCTTACGACGGCACCCTTGATATCGTCAACCTGCTCCTCGACAAGGGAGCCGACATCAATTCCCCTGACGGATGGGCCTTGCAAGCCGCCGCGGCAGAAGGGCACTACGACGTAGTCAAGGAGCTTCTCGATCGTGGAGCTGATGTCAACTCACTCACCGAGAATGAAAACTTCCCTCAGGGAACGGCGCTTCAGGCCGCCGCTGAGTCGGGCAAGGTGGAAATCGTTACGCTGTTGATAGAACACGGCGTCAACCCCGACCTTGGAGCGGGAGAAGACACCTTCCCCATCATGGCGGCTGCCATGAGAGGCGAGCAGACAATCTTGGAGCTTCTCGTCAACGCCAAGGCAGAGGTCAACGTCTCTGGTGGGCAGGATCACTCGACGGTGCTGATCGAAGCCGTGATCAACCTGCCGGTGGATGCCCTGCAGGTTCTGCTCGACGCTGGTGCTGATATCAACCTCGAGGATCGTGATGGCGATACCCCGTTGATCCTTGCAGCCCGCGAGGGCGACGCGGACTGCGTCAAGTTTCTCCTGGACCACGGAGCCGACATTTTCCACACGAACCACGACAATGAGAATGCTCTTCAGTCGGCTATTGAGTATGGCGGTGACGACGACTGCACCAAAGTCCTCATAGATCGTATCTCGGAGATTATGTCGGCCCTGAACAAGGCCATGCACAACGGCAACTCGGCCGTCACAAAGGTCGTCCGCAGCGTTGGAACCGGTCGTCAAGGTCTCACCTATGATGACTGGGAGGATCCCGATGACAGAATGTCAGAGGCATCTGACGACGACGACAGGAAGAGAAGCAGTTACGAGACCCCGCGAACCGAGTCTTTCCCGAACAGCGCTCGCAAGGTCGACGACTCGCCTCATGCACCGTCCCCTCTCAAGCCTCGCAGCGAGAAGCTGTCACAGGAACTGGAGGAAGCCATAGCCGCCCAGGTCTCGATGCTTCAGCAATTCGGAACATCTCCTCCCAAGCCGGAGAAGATCGAAATGTCGCCGGTTGAGATGCCCCCGACTACCATCGCGGGGCTGCCGTCTCAGAGGAGGTACTCCCAGCAGGTACAGCTGGAGGAGATGCTCTCAAAGTACGAGTTTGAACCGCAGCCAGACCCGGTGGAGAGGTTCAACAGGCCGCCTTACATCAAGGCACCACCGATGTCATGGACACAGTCAAGCGAAGCTCTCTCAGGCGAGCCGATGCTCTCCCCTGGTCAAGGGCCCATCAGACGCAAGCCAGCGCCATCGTACGCCTTGAACCCCTCGCCCACACCTTCCAATCTGTCTGGAAGCCAGTTCCAACCACCCCCTGCGCAAACCTCTGATGCGAAGCCAGTCGTCGATCAGCGGCCTGCATATCAGAATGCGTCGTCGTACCCTGGGGCCCCAATGTACCAGGCGGGTCTCGGCTTGCCATCGCAGTATCCTAAGAGAAGAATCTCGGAGGAGAACGACGATCTCGCGCCACCAATTGCTCCGTACACCGCCCCCTTCAACCCTTCATCATACCGCCCAAGCCCGGGGAACACGCCACCTCAGAGCCAGGAGCCGTTCCCTGATTTGCCTCAACAGATGCCAGGAGGATGGCAGAGTCCGCCCCAGCAGATGCAGCCGGCGATGCAGCAGTCTTCATTAAGCATTGAGAGTGTATCGCCACCAAATTCTCAGCATCAGCAAGAGTTTGACTCTAGGTAAGCCAAAACCCGAAGAATGTTCTCCGAGCATGCATGTTCATGTGCTGACCTGAGCAGTAAACCTGACTTAAAGTCACATCGTACCTCGTTCATGGGGATGAAAAATACGCTTGACAAGGCAAGACAGTTTAGTACTGGCATTATGAACCGCAAGACATCCGGCTTTTAGAACGTAAATAATTGATGAGAAGTGAGTGTATGAAGACATGGGCTCTGGGAGCATACTTGGCGTCGGGGAGCAGGAAACTAATAACTAATGATACCTTTTTTGTTGAGCCATGACGGCAGTATTTTCTCCATGTAGTCTCTTGAAATAGAGCGCACATATGTGCATGTATTTGCTGCGACTGAGTACAACTTATCGTTCTCCATGTGCACGAATTGGAACATTTCTAGACATCCAATAAATGTCAGCTTTACGCTTTAGCTTCATGTTCTGTGAACTTTGGAGGCACCCGCAAAGTCTCAGAGCACACAGCAAGCTCGAGAAGAAAATATCGGATTGGTCCCTTGACGAGAAAAACTCTGCACGATGAACAAGTACATGGTCCAGGCAATGTTCCTGTGGTGTTGTTGGAGGAATGATTAGGTTGGCGGTGCGGTGGCTAGTGGCATAATAATGGGACTCGATTGTAGTGTGGCTAGTGCGGTGGTGGGATGTGGCTGGAGCTCGATCCAAAAATTTCGGGGACAATTCTCAACACCATCTCCAGCGCGACAATCGACGGGGAAATCAGCAATTCCGCCCTCAGCCACCGAGGATCCCGCCCACAATGGCAACAGCAGGGCAAGCACTCCGACTCTGCATCCGCAGTTGTCGTCGTACACCGACAGCCCCAAGAATCGCACCACGAGCCGCGACACAATTCCCCCAGCAGCAGTTCCAGAGACGAACGTTTGCCGCCAGCCCCGCCAGACGTGCGCGCGGGGACGGAGACGAAGAAGGGGTCGACAGTTCGCTTTACAGAGTACAGGAAAGCGTCGAAGATGTGGTCAAGAAGTTGAAGCCCGCTGAGGTCGAGGCTCTGCAGCGGATGAGGAAGAGCGACCCATCGGCGCAGTCGTTGTCGCTTGAGGAATGGCTCGACAGGCAGTGGACGAAGGCCGACGAGGAGGCGGAGCGACAAGGGCCGCTCGTGACCAACCGTGACTACAAGATGCTCGCTCCGAGAGTGAAGCCCAACAGGCAGTCATTCTGGTTCGACCCGGACGCCCCCATGGCGGACACTGAGAATATCATCGACGAATTCGACGAGGATGACATGACGTCCATGGCCCACGGCAAGCTCGACGAGATTCGCGAGCACAGACATTACCACCGCATCATGGCTTGGGAGATGCCGCTGCTTGCCAGTACGTTACCCCCCTCCAATGCCACTTTTCTGGGCTCCTGGTTTACTGACCACGACGACAGAGCTCGCCAAGCCGTTCGAGCCGCCCGCGAAGGATGAGGTGCTGCGATTCCGATACACCACATACATGGGCGAGCATCACCCCGCGGAGAAGAAGGTGGTCGTGGAGTTCTCGCCGGTCGATTTGGACCTCACGCCGGTGCAGGCCGACAAGCTGAGAAAGCTGGCCGGCCCGCGATGGAACCCGGAGAAGGACATCATCAAGATGAGCAGCGAGAAGTTTGAGCACCAGGCTCAGAACAAGCGCTATCTGTCCGACCTGGTGGACACGCTTGTTGCGACAGCCAAGGTGAGCACAAAGGCAGCAAGAACTAGAGGAGCAGCAGGGCTAATAACCATCATAGGACCCCAGGGACACTTTCGAGGATATTCCTCTGGATACCAGACATCACCAGTCCAAGGAGAAGCCCAGGTTCCCCGTGGAGTGGCGCATGACTGAAGAGCGTCGCAAAGAGCTTGCTGCGTTCCGCCAGCAGGGCGAAAAGGCCGATGCTGCCAAGGTTGAGGAGGGACTACTCGTTGACGGCATGGGCACGATCGAGAGGTTCCTCGAGCAGCCGGCGCAGGCCGAGGTCAAGGAGGCGGAGTTGGTGGCTGTTCGCCGTGGCGGCGCGAAGAATGCTCGTCGGTAGAGCACTACTTCCGCTGCATCGAGCCCAAGTCCCGTAAAAAAGAAAAAGATGACGTCTGAGGGATGCATAGCTCAAGGACCTCCAGACATGTGTATGACTAGGCAGCTGGCTTTCTTGACGTTCAGCATGCCCGTGTAACATCTCCATGTATACATCCGTCCCGAGTCGGATTTATAGAAATATAAAAGGGGACGCGCACGATGACCCCGTTGGATTTACTTAGTAGTCCCGGCGCACACGATGCTTTCCGAGAGCCTCGTGTACCTGGGGACTGACATTGCAACCCTTCCAACGATACAGAGTAGTCCGCAATAGCTGGTCTGGTGAAGTCAGGTCAAAGTGTGTGATTATTCACTTATGGGTATGGAGCCTTTCAGATGACAGGATTGGTAAATGGCTGTGGTCAGCAATCCTGAATATCTTGAGCTTATCCTGACGACAATATCAAATGTCACTTGACCTCCTGCTCAATTGAATTTTGGACAATTCCCAATGCGCATGGTATTATCATATTTCCTGCCATGTGGATTCCGGGATCCCACAGGTCGGCCCATTCATTCTCGGCGGAGACTCGGACGGGGGGAATGAAGTTTAAGGAACGGATGCCAAAAAAGGGGACCTGGAAACAGGGCCAAGGACAGGGGTGTCTTGTTAGTCAGCCTGCGCGTTCATGCCAATGCCCATTCCCGCTGTTCTGCCAAATTGATGCCTCGGCATCTTTTTTTTTTCTAGCGCAGCGCAGGTGCTCGCGAGTCGCTGCGAGATGCGAGATGCGCAGGGGGTGGCGTTCTCTGGTTCTATCCCCGAAGAGAATGCGTTGCAATGCTCCATGTGGGGAAGAAGCAACCAAGCAGCGGGATTGGCACCGGGAGCTGGCTGAAGCTCCAAGCTGCTCTGCTGCTAAAGTAGAGCTCTGGCTGATCATTCGAGACGGTCGATGAGGGAGATTCACCTGAAGCTCTGAGGCGTCTCTAGACTATGGGCTAACATGTTCTAGAGGCGTCAGTCAGCAATGACTAGAAGGCGTCATGACTTCGCAAACTGCTGTGTGCCATCAAGACAGCGGCCCATGGAAGGGTGGCCCAGTCCGTTCCCCGTGAAGGCGAGGCCACTCCGTCGGGACATCTATGCCTCCATTCCCTGTCCAAATCCGATTCAACTCGACTGGCTGGTTCGGGCAAGAGCAGGTATCCATGCTCACACCATCTTTTCCATTTCAGAGACTGGCATTCGTTCACATGCAACTAGCGTACCGCACCGTTACCGTAGCTCCTGCTTTTTGGGAAACGAACTCGTTTCCAACTTGCAGCGCATTCGCCGCCCCGCAGCGTCGCGTCTTGCTGCTGCGTGTGTTCTCTCCTGCATTCCCATCGTTCGAAGTAGATTCATGCCCTCTCACTCGCACTCGCAACATCGACTGGTCACAACAAACCGCCTTCTAGAAGGAGGAACACCAAAGTGAATGGTAATCCGGCCTCTGTTCATCCCGACCGTCTGCCCGTTTTCGCGCGCCGAGGTTGCTCGCCCCGGACCTGACTCCCTATCCGTACAATCAATAAAATACCTTTCGTCCCAAAGTACCTCCTCGAGTCCCTCACCTCACCTTCTACCTCCCTCCATCACACCCGGCGACGCGGAGGCCGAGCACACATCAAGTGGAGCTTTGTCGCATGCGCACCCATCCACTCACTTTAAGCTGTGCCTTACCGAACGGCCAGTCCGCTAGCTGCTGATACTGCTGCCATTTTGCTACTCCGAATACATAAGTCGCCGCAGCCCTCACAACCTTAACTGCAACCACCACCACCACCTCTCTGCGGACCCGAACCCCGGCATTCCTTCTTCCCCTCACGAACCTCCTCTTTTCCATCCCTAGGATCGGTTCTTCGCCGACGACAGAAAGCCCGACATTAGCCCAATCATCACGAAATCATCCACAATGGCGCTTTCAGCAGACGTCAAGATCGCCGACTTCACTCACACGTCCACGGACGACATTTACCGCCTCACTGACACCCTGCGCGCCACTTTCCGCTCTAACAAGACCAAGGACCTCAATTGGCGCAAGGTCCAGCTCCGGAAGCTCTACTGGGCCATCAGGGACTTTACTCCCCAGCTTTGCGATGCCCTGCGTAAGGATCTGAGAAAGTGCAAACATGAGGCTCTCCTCTCCGAGATCGAGTGGTGTGCCAATGACTGCCTCTACATGATCAAGAAGATGGACCAATTCGCCAAGGACGAGACTCCCGAAGATGTTCCTCTGACCTTCGCCGCTCTGAAGCCGCGCATCCGCAAGGAGCCCCTCGGCATGGTGCTCGTCATCGGTGCCTTCAACTTCCCCGTCCAGCTCACTCTTCTCCCCATCATCGGCGCCATCTCCGCTGGATGCACGGCCGTTTTGAAGCCCTCTGAGAGCTCTCCAGCTACTGCCATGGTTCTGGCCAAGATTTTCGAGGTCGCTCTTGACCCCAAGGCCTACCAGGTCGTCAACGGCGCCGTGAAGGAGACACAGGCGCTGCTTGATGTCAAGTGGGACAAGATCATGTACACTGGCAGCACCGCCGTCGGCAAGATCATCGCCAAGAAGGCTGCGGAGACGCTCACGCCCGTCACTCTTGAGCTCGGTGGTCTGAACCCCGCCTTTGTTACCAAGAACGCCAACGTCAAGCTGGCCGCTCGTCGTCTCATGTGGTCTAAGTGCCTGAATGCTGGCCAGGTCTGCATTTCCCAGAACTACATCCTCGCCGACCGCGCCATCGTCGATCAGCTTGTCCAGGGCCTCAATGCGACCCTGAAGGAGTTCTTCCCCAGCGGTGCCAAGAACAGCCCCGACTTCTCTCGCATTGTCAACAAGAAGTCTTTCCAGCGTATCAAGAAGATGCTTGATGAGACAAACGGCAAGATTGTCATGGGTGGTGGTCTGGATGAGGACCAGCTCTTCATCGAGCCCACTGCGGTCTTGGTCGACTCCATGCTCGACTCAGTCATGAAGGAGGAGTCTTTCGGCCCAGTCTTCGCCATCATGCCTTACGATACCCTGGATGATGCCATCAACATTGCGAACCAGGTCTACAGAACGCCTCTGGCGCTGTTCACGTTCGGAAGCGATCAGGAGAACGAGAGGAGTACGTCGCACGTCTTTACTTACATGAACTAAGCTAACATGTGTCGCAGTCCTCAACGAGGTCACTTCTGGCGGTGCCACCAAGAACGATGCTTTCTTCCACGCTTCAATCTCGACCGTCCCCTTTGGCGGCGTGGGCGATTCTGGCACAGGCAACTACCGCGGCAGGGCATCATTCGACATGTTCACCCATCGCCGATCTGTTGCTCAGACGCCGTCGTGGCTTGAGAAGTTCATCCGCGTGCGTTACATGCCGTACTCTCCCAAGGAGCTCGCTCGCCTGTCGAGTATGACTGCAGAGAAGCCAGACTTTGACCGCAATGGCGTTCAGGTCCGCGGTCTCGGCTACTGGCTGAGCTTCGTCGTGGGTCTCGGTGCGAAAGGTGCTAAAGGTGCGTTGTTGAGATGGCTGGTGGCCTTGGTAAGTATGTACACCCTAACCCTGCGAAGGAATCATTAGGACTGTGATCGGATAAGGAGAGACTGAACACACTTCACACCTCCACACATCTCTACACAATATCCATATTCTATCTACCACAACACAAACATCGCTACACATGTCTTGTGCCATTTCCTTGTAAGTTTAGCCCCCTTAAACCCCTGAGAATGGGGGTTGGAAAGGTTCCACCATACACACTCGTTGGGAGGGACATCGCCTGTTGCCGATCGGAAAGAGGGGACCTCTAGGCTGGATGATGGGCCCCTGCTTCGGACAGGCTTGTACGCTACTGTGTCATATACCATTTCTATTTTGTCTACAGCTGGGTAAAGAGCTTGCCCTTTAACGGTCTTTTTCACACCAAGCCGCCTCTGTTGCCGCCATGTGATGTTCTTCTGCGAACCTCTTCGAACTTCCACCTCTATGGACTGCATCAGCCACTGCCACAAACTCTGCTCCAAGCACAACGGTCTCCCTACATCAGTCGGTCTTTCTGATTCCTTTCCAACAAACACCCTTCCCAAGGGGCCGTGGCTTAATGGTAAAGCGCTCTCTCGTTAGGAGGTGGTCGGAAGAGTTCACACGTTCGATTCTGCTCATGCTGACTCGAGTCTACTTTACATTGTGCCTTTACGATTAATCGCATCACGGAGGAATACCTGAGGAAAGAAATTAAAAAGAAAAACCCAATAAAATATCAAGATGAACTTGGCGAGAGAGAAATTCAAAGCAACAAACCAACAAAATATTAAGACGAACTCGGCGAGAGAGAGATGGTGGTTCGAATCCATCTGGCCCTAAACTTTTTACATATTTTTTTCCTTTCGATAGTCTTTTTCTAACTTTATCTTCTTGACCTTGTCCAGCCGCGCACGTTAGTATACACCGTCTCGCAAGCATTCTACGATCTGTTTTGCAATTCCACTGGGATGTTCATGACCAGGCCTTCGTCTCCTTTTCCCTCAACGCCAGCCGTCGCCCTGATGTCGTCACCTCCCCTGGCCAAGGACCCGTCGCGAAGCTCGACAGGCACATTCATGACCAACTCGTCCCCCTCACCCTGGATCCCCGCCGCCCCTGACGCGCCGACGTCTTCATGAAAGGGGTCGGGGTCAAAGTACCCGGGTTTGCTGTCGGACCGCTGCCGTTTGCGACGCCTGGACTCGGAGAGTGTCGAGTCGACGACGGAAGTGAACGTGTTCGATCTGGAGACGTCACGGGGCCGTGACTCGTTGGTGTTTTGTCGCTCGGCGGCCGGTCCCGTGTCCTTTGCTGTATGCCGAGAACCGTTGTGGCTGTTTTTGCGCTGCCCACTTGGACTTGCATCCCCTAGGCCAAAGTCGAAACCCGAGAAAAGCTCCGTGTCCTTCCTCTTGCCCTTGTCTCTCGTGGCATCTGGCGTTGCCCTTTCGGGTGGTTCTGGTGAAGCGGCAGACCCCTCTGCACAGCGTTGCTCGACATATGACTTGATGGTCTCAAGCTCGGTCGCCGACTTAGTCAACGGAATCTGCTTGTGGAAGCCATCCTCCACTGCCCATTTCTCGTCGCGTTCAGCTTTGTATATGGGAAAGTCTTCCTGGACGTGCGGGTCCTTGTCGACGTACCGCACCAGGATGAACTCGAGGCGGTCGCGGAGACGAACGAAGTACCGGTAGACTGACATTCTTGGTTGAGCCATTTGAGAGCGTGGTGGTGGTTTGTTGTTGGGCATACTGAATATGAATCTGGGCCAAAGTCGTATGGTTTACTTTAATCGCGATTCCTTTTGGTCAAACGGGTAGAAGGCGGTGAATTTTCCTGGGCAAGGACGTAGACTTCTATGCTGAGTTGTGAGATGGGCAAGCCGGTACAGTGAATCACCCACTTTCAAAGCTCCATCTGGCGTCTTCATCGTCACGCAAGCCCCTGAATTTAGATCGGTAGAAACGCCGAGTCAACCCGTCCTGCCGTACCACAAGCGGCATCGTCCACATGACTGATGCCTCCACGTAACCCCACGGAAGAACCTCGACTATTCACAAAGAAGAAAAAAAAAAGGCTGTCGTTTCCATTCTATAAGATGAGTATGGTAGTACAGTTCCCGCCACAACTTCCGCCCCTCCCGTATTCTGCCGTGGAGGGGCCCTTTTCGGAAGGAGAGGTAAGTTTCTTACACTGAGAAAGGCCACCACCGCCCGCTCAGAGACCCCTGAGCTGCGTGTTGTCCCGCTCGTCAACTCGCTGATACCGCTCCGCCAACACCTCCTTGACCGTCTTGGTCAGCCCGCTCGGCTTCTCGTACCGCTGGTGTAGCGCCTGCTGCACAGGCGAACCCGCCGGCAGCACCTTCCCGTCCTCCTTGATGCTGACCTTGTCCTCGACGATGCCCGCCGCCTGCTGCACCTTCACGACAGCGGCGCCGGCCTCCTTCCTGCCCTTCTCCACGACCTCGCCCACGACGGCCTTGACCTCAGCGGCCTTGGCGTCCGCCGCCTTCCGCAGCTCGGCCGCCTTCGCGCGCGTGGCCTCGTCGGCGGCGAGCGTCTTTTCCCTCGCGCGCTCCCACGCGCTCTTGGCCTCCTTGCGCAGGCTCTCGCCCTGCTCGTCGGCGAGGATGGCGCCCTTCTGCTTCGCGCCGTCGACGACCTCCTTCGCGAGCGGCGCGGCCCTGTCGCCGGCCTCGGCGGTCTTGTCGATGGCGCCGCCCCAGAGCCGCGCGACGTTGCCCTCGAGGGTTTCGCGGACCTCGGCCCAGTCCGTTCGCTGCGCCCACCGGACGGCGTTCTCGACCTCCTTGTTCCAGCGGTACTTTGCCGACTCGACGAGGTTCTCGCGGTCCTTGACGGCCTGCTCGGAGCGCGTCAGGGGAGGCGGCAGGCGGAGATTGGGCTCGAGGAGGGAGGAGAGGACGTGGTTCTGGGAGCGGAGGATGTGGGATTGGGCCTCGCGGTTGCGTTGGTGGGCGAGGACGGTTAGGTAGGCGACGCCTAG